CTAGTATAAATGATTTGACATAACGAAACTAACAATAATTATAATTAAAGTAGAGTAATAAGTGATTCGTGAATTCTAAATAAAACAATTATTATATAAAAGTGTAAAAGGAAATGTAATTTATTTCCCTATTTTCTTCTGTAATATCTTCAATTATTATGTTTAATTTCTATAAATAAACCAACTGGTTAGGTGAAACATTGTGATATAAGATTTTATTTATGTGTCCTATGGGTACACTTTAATATACAAAACACCTGGAACATTCTTTAAATAATTGTGGTCGTAGAAATAATTGTGTACATAACTCGTTTGAAAGTGTATTTAATGCACTTGCCAAATATATTATCCATACAGATTAATCAGACTATTTTTTTACTTAACTTCAGTACATCTCTTACTACTAAAACTATTTTTATCAATGGAAAAAAAGGGCCGTGTTCTCGTATGTTTTGACGCATTTTCGGCCTCAGCCCATCGGATCCCCCCTCTAAATATATATGAATTTTGCTTAGAATTGTTAATCCTACAATTCTCTATTCGTGCTTGCTGACTGGGAAAATAAATACCGAAAATCGTCACTGTCTCCTGGACTATACAATAGAGATGATGATGAGAACTTCACAACAAATACACTTTTATGAATGGCTAGTTGGGGATGTGGGAAGGGTAGTTATTCCTACATGTAAGTACGTTCTAAAATGACATGTAAATTCGGAAGTATAACTGGTTTTGAGCCAAAAAGGAGCCTTACTTGCATAGAAAATTTGAAGTGTTTCTCTTAAGCCGTTTTTGAGATATCACGCCGACAGACAGACGACTACAGATGACAACAGACAGATCGTTAGAATGGGACCCTACCTACACTTGCCTTACAAATGGTTTTAAATTATTTTATCATCGTAAATATCAACTGGAAATTTTTTATATTAGTAAGATATTTTACAATAATATATGATATAATAACAATATTTAATTTATACCAATAATTGTAAAATATGTATGTGTATTCAACCCACATCATATGTTAACAATAAATTAGCATAATAAAATTTAATTTTCGAAATTTGTTATTCTTTTCTTCAAACTGAATGAAAGTAGGTACTTAAAAAAAAATAAGATTTCCTATAAGACGAAGAAATGTATCTCAGTATCTGTCCTCAAATCCGACAAATTTTTGACAAAAATTCCTACTCCAAATATATTTTTACAAAGGTGTCTTATCTATTTTTGCGTAAAAGATAACAAACTATGTTGACAGTAAACAAACTTGTTTTATTGTTTTACTATGAAAATATAGGGTTAACATACCTACAAATGTTTAATAAGAAATTATGACTACAACTATACAGATGGTAGACGAAAACAAGATTAGATACATCCAATTATGTTTTGTTTTTCGAAAACTGTGACCTACCTACCTACATAGTGTAAAAAGATGAAAACCCAACTATCAAAAAAAGAAAAAACGACTGAATTTTATTTTCTCTTCATTTATGGAAAATAAAAAAATTACAGAGTATGAAATTAACTTTGTTTACTCAGCACATTAGTAGGTACAGAATATTATCATAATGCAATCAGTGTGGTATTACATCCTTCCTATTTATTATATATAGAGTGTCTTAATTGACTAGATACAGGATAGCCAGACGAAAACGTACCAGAATCATTATCAGGAAGTGAGTCAACATTTTAGACAAAAATTTGGACTCGTCAATTTTTGGACACATTTGAAGACATATTTCTGTCATATCCTCAATTTAAAGAAATTGTAAACAGCTAAATGTAATAATTTGGAAGCTCAATTCTTGTACATATATTATTACTTATTAGTGATCGAATATTAAAACCACGATCTGAACAAAACATATAATTTATTTCAAAAATAACTATTTTCATCTGCCACAGTCAAAATCAAAAACTATTCTAATCCAATATCACTCCTAGATAATATTCATCCCATACAGCCCACATTATTTCAGAAGTGTTTCAGAAATATTTCAAACGTTTCAAACATTTCAAGCACAAGTTTCTGAAATATTTTAGTTAAATATTTCACTGAAAAGTTTCTGAAACATGATACATATACATGTTACACAAAAGGTTACTAAACGGATTATGTTGTAAAAGGCCACACACAATGAAGAATTTCTAAATTTTAATTAGAAGAAGATGGGATTTATAAGGTGAGTTCGGATAGTCAGGGGCTGGAGCGGGACAAAAGCGGAGTTTTTTAGGGTGCTTTTAAATGACATTTAAGCATGTTAAACTGTCACTAATCGGACTAAACCAATGAACTGGAGTGGGGTAGAAAGCCAATGTGCATATTGTATCAATATAACAAGATGAGACTCTATGGGCGCAGCTATTTTTATTTCTCATCTCACTCGGGAGTATTTATAATAACCATTTTCTGTTTCACATTGTTATTGTTCAATCCACAAGCTGGTGGATCAGACAATAACAAAGTGAAATAGAAAATGGTTGTTATAAATAATCCTGAGTGAGATGAAAAATAACCTGTCTTCGCCCATAGAGTCGCAGGTCGCATCTCAAGCCTATTGACAAGCATTCTACCCCACTCCAGTTCATTGGACTAAACCGAACGCTAAAAGGGTCGTTTGGAGTAAAAAGTGTTAAAGGCGTTAAAGGAACTTGGCAGATCGAACGCAATGTCCAGCGAGAGAACTCTATATTCTAAATAATTATAGATTTGAGTTGTCGGTTTTTGTCATTTCCATTTTTTGTAATTTCCATTTTTTTGTTATTTATGCGTTATGCTGTTTTATATGGGAAGCAGAATAGACAGAATATGTCTTTACAAATTGAGACGAGTATTTACAATGCTTGTTTAGGTTAGGTTTATTAACTTTATCTCCTCTCTGAGGCGAGTGACGCCATTTCGTTTTATCAAATTTTCCTACGCAGTTTTAGTCTTATTTCTTTTTATATATAACCTACATTTGCTGTCCCTCCACCAGTTCGATTTATTAGTTCTACAGCTGATTGAAAAGTGGAGCTTCATGTTTTGTTTAGACATGGGTATTATTGTTTTTATTATAGTTAATTTAAAACAATATTACCTAATAGACTTTTTTAATTACCTATAATTCCTTTCAGATTAGTGCATTTAAAGGAATTGGTGGAAAAGAAGCGATTCGCCAGCTTTGGGACTGTGTCAGTAAAAGTAACATCGAAGTTATTTAACGTTTCCAGAATAAAGTATTAAGGAACCTCGTCGATGCACCCTGGTATTGCCACAATCCCAGACAGCACACCAAATCCTTTGGATATCTACTGAACATCCCAATATCCACTGAATATCCAGTCCATGGTGGATATCTATTTTATATCCATGAGCTGTAATTTACAGACATGCAAATGTCCATAAATAATAGTAATTATATAGCAAATTATTAAAAAATTACGCCATTGTGCTCGCCATTGTGGCTAATAGTACCGTTCAGATATTTAAAATTAATTTTTTTAAGGTGTATTCAATATCCCATGGACATCCACATATATCAAAGTCTTAGCGCGGACGCAAACCATCGTGGATATCTACTAGATGTAATTTTTGATTTTGCTTCCTAAGTATAGATGGCGATACCACTTTCGTATCTACTCATGCTCAACCCGCCATAATTGAGTTGATCGAACATTTTTTCGCATTAAGACTCTATTAGAGACTGGAGTCGAGAATTTCCATCTATTGCTGAAGAGTCCAAATAAGGATGACTTTTTCCTTAGTGAGCAAACTCAAAGGCAAATTGTTGAAGATATTTTTTATCTTTATTTTCTTTCGACGTTATCATTCATTTGGTTACTTATGAATGTCTACTAAAGATACCTATAAAATATTTTGCTGAATATCTGAGTTCTATATCCTGGGATATAGACGGACATTTGGTTGGATATCCATATTTGGATATCTACAAAATATATTCTGTGGATATTTCTTGTATTAGTATTGTCTGGAAGATACTAATTAGATATTTTGCTAAATATCCATCTTATCTTCTATATTCTGGATATAGACGGACATTTGGATATCCATATTAGATCCACGGAATATTTCTGATATCCTGTGGATATATTGGATATCCACAAAAGATATTCTGTGGATATCTTTGGGATTTGGTGTGTTGTCTGGGATCTGATCTTCATAGGTACCTTAAAGTGGAGACTAATTATCCTTCCTCCATGGTGGAGACTGTTGAAAATACAATACAAAAATTTGCCAGTATCGTCTTTCGTTCAAAATCAAACAGTTTCTTTTATTTGGTTACAGAGATTGCTCGTAAAAAATATTTTTTTTGTAGATTGATCCTTATTTAACACGCAGGTACCTCCCAGACTAAATACTTATCACGCCAATTTAAATAAAAGTATTTTGAAGATGCTCACATGCAAATTTTATAAGTTTACTTTAAATGCATGTTTCTTGGAATTCGCTTGACGCGGAAACTTCATTTAGACTGTAAATATTAATCATTATCTCTCATTAATATTTATATTTAGTTGTTTTTTTTTTTGACATAGGTACTTAAATTAATTTTTTTTGTGATAATTAAATATACTCCCAGTGCGATACATGTCTAAAATGAATTAGTTCCTTAAAAGTATTTGATTTATTGTTATGTTCTCATCTAAAATAAGTGTCTTTGGATAAAATTAACATGGATTTTTAAAGACATCATTTTTTATAAATAAATTCTATTAGAAGTATTAGATAGTAATATTTTTATATAAGAAATACGATAAATTTTGAATAAATATACTTTAGGTATCGCCTGTAACATAGGCAACACAGTTTACCGAGATGTCATTAAGTATGCATAACTATCAATATCGCTAGATATTTTAAATTCTTAGACAAGATTTTGTTATAAGTTCTAAATGAACCCAATAAAAATAATTGTTTTGAGTTGTATGTTGTATAACGTTTAGTTAGTTACTACATAGAGTTACTTGTTTGTTGATTACTTAACTTAGGTTATTTTTTGAAAAATTGCTATGAATGTAATTTGCTATAAACATTTCCTTGCGAAATACACGAAATTTTATCAATCAATAAAAATAACTACTATTTAAATAATATTATATTAATTCTATTGTAACATTAATCTAAAATCAAAAAACAGCACTAGCACATTATTATTCTTCTTTAAATTTTCCATTGTAATAAGGGATGTAATCAACAATTACCCTCCAGTCAGTGGCGTAACACAAAGTAACTCCCGCAGTAGCTCCAAAAACCATTGCAGATCCAACCCTGAAAGAAAAATTAATGTAAAAAAGTTACATAATGTAGGGTTATGAAAATTCACTTAAAAAATTACCATTGTGAAGCAATTTCGATGTGTTTTTTTCCTATGGCTTTCAAGGGACCTGGCAAGGCCAATTTAGATGCAGCAGCAGCTCCAGACATCCTGATATTCCGAAGAAAAGAACGAAACTATTTAAAATTATTCCTTTCAAAAGGACGAGTATTCAAAGACAATTAATGACGTAATGGCAGTGACAGTGACACTAATTGACAGTGACACTATTGACAGATAAGATGTCAGTTATAAGTTATAATCGATTGGAAAAATCGATTTACTAAAAATTAGTTAAATTTTCCTTTTTTTATAAGTTTATATGATAAAGATAAAAGAAAAGAAGCAATTAAATCATAATAATGGTAAATATTTTGAAATTGTGTTTAGTCTTTAAAAATATTCAAAAGTGTGCAAAATTAAAGTCATGTGTAAAATGAGTTGCCTATCTATCAAATAGTTTACTCAAAATATATTTCCACATTTCATTAACTGCATTTTATTTAATTATTAAATATTATTAGAAAATTTTAAATAGTTATTTTTTTGCAAACAAATTAAATAAAAATATAAAATTTATCACGACAATCGATGAGCCGATTTAATTTTTCGAATGATCGATTCTAGCGCCACCTTTAAACATAACCTATCTATGACTTATAAAAATCAAAATCATTCAAACGTCTACCGTGTATAAGTTCACCAAGGTAAAAGTCAAAATCAAAACAAAAGTTAAAATAAAAGTAAAACTACTGTATTTATTACCAGACACATAATTTATATTTTGTTGGCATTTATAGTATAAAGCGATAAAAGACTATAAAATGGTTGATAGTCTACAGGAAGAATGGGATGAATTGAATTCTGATTTTAAGCAACTAGAGGTTGGTTTTTTGCACATAAATATTTTGAAAACATTGAATTCAATAAGTCGAGTTATTGTTTATGTAAGAAGTAGGATAGTTCAATAGGGCAATTAATTTATACTAAAATATAGGTTAGGCTTTTCCCTTGTTTTTAGCAATTAATACTGTTGATAATTCTTTTAGGTAGACAACAAGGCATATTTACAACAATTAAATGAACTTACTACCATTCAGAAAAAATGTCTGAATCAAATAACACATCAAAGATATCGTATTGGGGTAATTTCAAAGTCATTGAGAGAGTAAGTACTCAAAATATTTGTTTATTATTCAGTGTTTTATTTGTATGATAGTTTCTCAAGGCTGGCTAAGTAATTTTGTATTATTAAATTAAGTAAAACTATTTACTTAAAATGTACCTGTATTGTTTACACGGAGGTTCATCATTAGTGGCTATTTCCCTCGCGATTTCCCCTATTATCATCATGGGGCCATTACTATTATGTAAATGATTTGGCTTTAGACATTATATAAAAATCATTGTGTCTACATGTGTACAGATAGTACACAAAAAGGCCTATCTATACCTACAAAGAACTGTTTTACTAGATTAGTGCAGTTAATTCTGTAACATCATCTTGTTTATTGATTTGGTTTTGTGTTATTGAATTTTTGGTATCGTTAATGTATTTTGAGGCTTTAGCTATTGGAAAATACGTAAACTCTAAGCAGAATAATTTACATGGAAAATATTGACCTACATGTAAAACCATATTAATGTGTGCCCTAAAACTTTGATCTTGTTTTTATATTTATATAGGTCAAATTTTATCACATGTAAATGATAATTGTTTATTATATCCACTTACATATTCGTAAAAATAACTATTTTTTTTATTTATATTTTGGATATTTACACAAAATGAATGTACCATTTTACACTAATTTTAAATCATGTTTATATCTCATAAAATGTGTAGATATTTCAGACTTTGTTTTACAAATTCTTTAATTTGACAATACAATATGATAAAAGTGTAGTAAGACAATGATACATAAAATTTGCTTTGAGGAAATTAATTGTACAAAAAAATTCATTTTTTCAAAATAACTCGCTCATAAATTTCATTTTATCAATATCAGTCTTATATAAAATTAATTTTATCAGAAACCAATCCTATTTAAAATTAATTTTTATGTGGGATCTGCACTCAAAATAAAATTCACATAAATATATTTTATATGGGATTGTTTTTGTGTATATGACCACGTTTGTAGCAGTTGGGCACCCTTTTTCATTTCAATAATAGTTTGTTGCAGCCAGTTTATTTATTTCTTGAAAAAAATTTTGATTTCTAATAATAGAGTGAATATATTAATGCATTACTTGATATGTTTATTAAACTTTGTTTCTTCCACAGCCAAATTATTTTCTTCTGGGTTAAAATCCTTATATTGTTGGCAATTCTACAAAATTTGATGTTTCTTTTTTAATTTTTGTTCGAAATTTATTTTCTTAAATGACCTGGACAAGCATTATCTTAGCTAATAGTTATTTCAGTTGAATTGAATAATTTTTTCCTCGGGTACCTATCAGTTGTGAATGTCTTTATAATTAAAATTACATGATTCAAGCTGATTAGTAATTTTGTGTTAAATTTTATAGTGTGCTTGGTTAACATGTTTGAATGTGTCTAGTTAACCAGTAGCATGTTTAATATTCATAAAAACTAGTGAATAGTTTCAACTTATAAGTAAAAAATACGATACAGATAGTTTAATCTAAAGATATAATAAATAATATGACAAATCCACTCACAATAGACTATAGTGTCACACGTATGAATATTCTTTTAAATTTGTTATGAAAGGCTTAACAAATGGATCGTTATCTTTAAAGAAATAATTAAAATTTCTTTTTAAACTTGGCGCCAACTTCTACTAATTTCATTGGATGTGTTTGATATAATGTTGCCATATTTAGGATTGCATGTTCGTTAATTGGTTCATTTGATTGTGAAATTAGAGGTTATTATTATTTTGCATGTTATTTGACCACATCATTACACGGGGTTTTTCTTTTTTAATATGGCAAGTCTCGGAAAATGTTTTATAGATTTAAATTGTGTTTTTGAATCTAATATTTGTTTATAAATATGATATAGGCAAAGACTCTGTAACTCAGTATGTTCGAGCAGTTTAGCTTCGAATCCTAAAGCAGATCATGTGAATTTTTAATTAATTAGCATGGTTTCGTTGTAGAATTTGATGGGTGCTGTATTAGCAGTAATTTAATTTATGTTTGATATGGCATCTAGATTACAAATTGATGATGGTAGGTGAGGTTTTCTGGGTTTTCCTGACATGTAAGTCAAATGACACCATCTTTAAATCGTCCCGCAGCGCCACGGCAAATAATATTAATGGTCGTCCTTTTCCCATACAAGCTCAGTCAGCTTCAGGGGGTCAGTTTAGGGAAAATATTATTAATTCATCATAAATAGAATTTTATATAGTACTTTTAAAACAGCTATTTCATCAATATTTTTTATTCCAATATTTTAATTTGTTGAAAAAAGATACAATTGAAAATAATCATTGATTTGTTATATTAAACTGGATTTTTATATGTTATTAACTTTCTTCTTATTTCTAAGTAGATATGGGTGGCAGAGAGAAGCAAAAACTGTAATTTTCAAGCATTGTACGTCACATTTTCCTCTTTTCCAAAGTTGCATTTTAATTATTATGAATGGAACATTTATTTTTAAATAATTTGCAGAAGACTTTCTTAAATTAAAAGGTTATGTTACCTTTTAATTTCTATCTATGTAAACTCCAAATTGTAAAAATCATTTGTCATCTATGTGACGTGCTTTGTTTACATGTTTTATAATAATTAAATTATTAAATTAAAAATTTTAAATAATTGTATTACCTAAAAATATTTGTGGAATCTTTAGATTAAAGAGACCGAAGATGTAACATTGCACACTGCGCATGTTGTCTATTTTAATCCAAAGTAACCCACCAATTGAAAATCATTGTTGCACGACGCCACCCGAATTGCTCCGATTTCCATTCAGCGATCACCTCCACCTGAGTTTAATCACCATTGACAGCTGTTTTTTGATTTATTTGTTGGTATTTTAGCAATTTAAAGTGTTCTAGTTATTCAATTTCAAGTTCAAAATGTCACGATGTATCTTGAAAAATTGTATGTACTTATAATACAAGTGCTACTGTTATGAATATATTCGTTTTCAGCGGTAAATATTTATTAACGTTTTGACATAAAGCGCCATGATTCTCTGGGCTGAATACTTCAGATCCGCAGTAAGGGGTTTCAATAAATATTAAGCATCAGAAATCAGATTTCATATTACTTACATAAATTTACAAAAGGGTAAAATTTTGAACATTTAATTTAAATAAATAATATATAGGCATTATTGCTAACGAAATTTTGTATTTAAAAAGTAGTTTTATAAGAATGTTTTCTAAAGGTAGTTTTTAGCCCTTTTTGATAGATAAATAAGAGGTAAAGAATCATAGTTGCTAGCTAAGTTTTATTTTTATAAGGTATTTTTATAAGAATATTAGATGAAATACAGGATGACCTACTTAAAATTTCAAGGTTCATCTTATTTGCGGTCAAATCGAAAGTGACATTGAATTTTCAGTCTTAAAACAAAGTAATCTAGTATAAGCAAAAAAAAAAATACTAAAGTTACAGGAGTTAGGTCCGATTCCACCGTTGTGTTAAACGGAGATTAAAATGACAGTGTTAATGTAAAAATGTCATTTTAAACTTCGTTTAACACAACGGTGGAATCGACCCTTAGTCACGTTAATAAAATGTTACATTACAAACCCCTAAACAACTCGAACATAATTTTCGTTTACTAAAAAAAATCCAAAATTTAGCAATATTTATTTATTATACAATCGAATGCGATTTCAAAGATAACTGGATCAAAAAATCCGAATCTCTAAATTTTGGAGCTAAATGCTCAGATAAAAGCAAGCGACCGATAGGGGTTACAAAAATAATCGATTTATCGATAATTCTGATATTTTTTAATGAAAATCGATTTATCCGCTGTTTTTAATAAATTATTTTCGTTTTTTTTTTAAGATAATGTATTAATCGATTTTAAAGGAAATACAAAAAAAGTAGATTTATTCAAAATAATCGATTTATCGTTTAATCGGTTTTTTAATTATTTGATTATTTTCGATTTTTCAAAGATATATGAAAATAATCGATTGAATATAAACGGTTATTTTACATAATTCGATATTTTTGTTATTTTTTTATAATTATCGATTTATTGGATAATCAGCTTTTTAATAATCAATTATTTTCGATAATCGAATAATCAATTTCAAAGGAAATATGAAAAAAGGATTATTAGAAAATAATAGATAATTCGTTTTATTTTTTGGAAAATCGATTTATCATAGAATCGGCTTCTTAATTAATTGGTTATTTTCGATTAGGCAATTATTTTGGAATTATTGATTATTTTTGGTATTTCAAAGATAATCGAATTATCGATTTTAAAGGAAATACAATAAAAATAGATTATTGATAATAATCGATTGATCGAAAATAATCGATTATTCAAAATAATCGATAATTCTGTTTTTTTTTTGAAAATCGATTTGACAGTTAATCGACTTTTTAATTAATCGATTATTTTTGAAATACAATAAAATAGATTATTGGTAATAATCGATTTATCATAGAATCGGCTTCTTAATTAATTGATTATTTTCGATTAGGCCATTATTTTCGGTATTTCAAAGATAATCGAATTAACGATTTTAAAGGAAATACAATAAAAATAGATTATTGATAATAATCGATTGATCGAAAATAATCAATTATTTAAAATAATCGATCATTCTGTTTTTTTTTAAATCGAATTATCAGTTAATCGACTTTTTAATTAATCGATTATTTTTTATTAATCGATTATTTTCGATTTTTCAAAGATTATCGAATAATCTGTTTCCATGGACAAAAAAAAATGGTTTATTTGAAAATAATCGATTATTTAAAATAAACGATAATTCTATTTATATTATATTTTGTAAACACTGATTTATCGGTTAATTGGCTTTTTAATTAATCGATTATTTTTGATTTTTCAAAGATAATCAAGTAGTCGATTTTAAAGGAAATGACAAAAAATATATTGTTTGAAAATAATCGATTGATCGAAAATAATCGATTATTTTCAATGATCGATAATTTATTTCGATAATCACTAATCCCTAGCGACCAAATGACTTTTAATAGATTTAAATTTTAAAATGTTATCTGGTTTCAGACATATGCATTTCTAGAGTTTTATGTGACTCATCCTTCATAATAATTAATATTCTTAAAGAAAGAAGCCTTAATATACTTTTTTCTGAGGTTACAATACAAAACAGCATTTTCTCATTTTGACTAATTTTTAATAATATGTAATAGCCGTAGAAAAAATATAATGTTCAACTCATAAGGGTAGATTTGCAGTATTAGCCTGCATATGCTATTTTTATAATACTCGTAGACAATGAGTAACATTTTTTGCTCTATTAACAATATATTCTATTTCAACATTTTACTGTAATCTCTTGCAGAAAAGTCCGTAGTAAATAAACGCTAACGAAATATTCTATAAAAGGTCTTCTCTTTACATAAAATGTCGTGGCATCTGTTTGATATTAAAAAATCACGTTAATTTTATTTCATAATATAAAATTCGATTAAACACATTTTAAATAAACCTAATAGTTCATTAAGATGTTAATAAACAAAGTCCGGTCCCTGTCACAGAGTTCGGGTCGCCGCGTGTCGCCGCCCAGTTCCCCCACTCCGTTAACCCTTCTTTAGAAATTGGCAACATTTGCGCAGGCTTAAAACCGGTGTATGTTATATCTCTGGTCTCTTTTATCTAAGGTGGAATCTTTGTTTACAATAAATAACATAATAATAAATATTTTAAATATTAAACACAAAACAAATAAAATGTTTCTTTAATCATGGATCATGGGAAATGAAACGAGGGGGGTCAGCCATAAATTCTGAAACAAAAAGATTAACAAGTCCTAAATAATATGTTTTAATTTTTACTAGTTTGAATCTGACTTATTTAAGTCTAAAGAAGAATACCATTTAATTTAGGCGTCAACTGTAGAAAGTGTAAGTTCACCTTATGTTGCATGCAAAGATCGTTTATATGAACACCCATTAACAGAGGTCAAACGATTGAACCTTGTGGTGTACCGTTATGTATTTAATTTAAATTATGTCCAAGGACAATGACCTGTTCGGTATTTCGATTGCGTAAAATTGATGATGATCAAATTTTAGCTTGAAAAAGAAGGGATGCGACCCCAAAGTGATCGAAGAGTTGAAAAGTAATATTATGAAGAGGAAAGCGCACTTGTACGATATCGAACAGACGTTACCAAAACAAAATGGCGTTTATTTAAAAATTATTTTAGGAAATGTAAATGTTTCTATACTGGATAGGGAAGAAAAGTAAGTAATATAGTCTATTTTTGATTGGTTTTAAAATTTTTAATCGATAATGGGAGCTAAATTAGGTTTAGAAATAAAAAAGGAACAAGTTATTCAAAGGAACGTTTTAAAAAAGTAATTACTTGTGCCCAGGAGTTAAAATTGAATGTTTCCTAATTAAATTGAGATTATAACAAATACTTTTTTATACCTATAAAGTATTAGCTAATTATTCAATGCGATGTCGATGGGTAATAAAAAATGAGTGTTTCAAGGATTTGAGAGAATTGAAATAATAGCTTTCATTATTTTTTCAATTTAATCGAACGTGATAGTGATTTTTTTCTGAGGAATTATATTTTTGTTATTAATTCTTTACGTAATTATAAGAGCGTTTGAGACAAAAAATCTAATACAAGGTCAGCAGTACAATGTTCATCAAAAATATCGATTTCTTTTTTCTCACAAATAGAATAGATTTTCTGAATGAATATCACACTATAATTTTTCTACGACTATAAAGTTATAAATAGATGGGGAATATATTATTTGTTTTTATTAAAAACTGTATAATTATTTTCATTTTATATTTGGATTGGGATTTTTTTCGATATTTTTCATTTTCATGTGAGAATTTTCCATTGAAAATTTTATGTATTCATTATTTCACAAATTCATATTTATTTTTAGGTTTAAATACAAAGATGAATACGAAAAATTCAAACTGATTTTGAGTATAATAGGCATAGTAATGGCGGCGTTAAATTTCGCAGTCAGGTTTAGGCCGCTCGAACTTAGTTATATTTTTCTACTAGTTTGGTACTATTGCACTTTAACTATTCGAGAGAGCATACTTAAGGTAACTTTATTTAGTCGTTTTGATTGTAAATTATCTTTATTGTGTATTTTTATTTATAAAGGGATCAAAACTTATGTTTAATCTTCGATTATGCGTCGATATTTGGTTATGCATCGATCTTTGATTATGTATCGATCTTTAGTTATGCATAGATCTTTGACCATTGTTTTTCAATAGGCAGTATGGAAGAAACGGTTTTTGAATCTAATACTGTACCATGTATTTACCAATGTTTGTTATGTTAAAACATATCTGTAATCAGTTTTTGTTTTTGTAAATAATAAATTTATTATTATTATATATTGGCTATGCATCGATCTTTAGCCATTCGTCGTACTTTGGCCATGTATCGATTTTTGGCCGTGTGTCGATCTTTGGCCGTGTGTCGATCTTTGGCCATGCATCGATCTTTGGCTATGCGACGATCTTTGGGTATTCGTCGATCTTTGGCCATGCGTCGATCTTTGGCCATTCGTCGATCTTTGGCCATGCGTCGATCTTTGGCCATTCGTCGATTTTAATCATGCGTCGATCTTTAATTATTAGTAGATCATTAGCTTTAAACAAAGATCTACTCTGTTCGAACCCCTGTTTTTAATTAAAGCTCATTAAAAATATGTAAATCATGACAGAACACTTATTTTTGCTGCGATTTGGTTTACTAATCGCTATATCATTCCTGTTTCATTTTGTTTGTACACATTTCACTGTCCACCTCGTTGCAATGTTTGCCGTTATGTATACAGTCGCACTAACTAAAAATATTGAAAGATTTTTTATTGAGAGGCAGATATATTAATGTGACGTGATTTGTGTTCCAAAAACAATCCATTCTGTCATTGAAATTTTAGTTTTGTTAAATATTGTTTGCAGATCGTAAAAAAAGTATTTTAAAACGCAATAAAAAAATGTCTACTGTCACTGTCATTTATCATCGGAATACAAATTACTTCATTTCTAATATAACGTATTGTATATAACGATACTGGTTCTGTAGAATACACAATCAAAATTGATTAATAAAAACCACAACTATCCTTCAAAGTGTGTCCCGCATTAGGGGCTATTTGAGTTAAAAAAAAAACATTTAGGATTGAGTAATTATTTAGTTTTTCATCGTTTTTAGGTAAACGGGTCTCGAATAAAAGGCTGGTGGAGACTGCATCATTTTCTGTCGACCGTTGCGGCTGGAATTTTACTAATTTGGCCAGACAACGATACTTGGTCGCTGTTCAGGAACCAATTCATGGTTTTCAATATTTATATAAGTAAGTGTTCATATCTGTAACCTCCGTTTTAAATCGTCCTTGGCTAAGCGTCGATCTTTAGCTATGCGTCGATCTTTGGCATTGCGTTGATCTTTATTAACTATACGTCGATCTTTGACTATACGTCGATTTTTGGCTATTAGTCGATCTTTGACCGTTAGTCGATCATTGGCTTTAAGCCTAATGACAAATATCGATCATTATTTTATTATATAAATATAATTTCAGGTTTAGTACAATATCTGCAGTTCAGATACCAAAGAGGCGTCCTCTACCGACTGAAAGCTCTCGGCGAAAGGCACAACATGGACATCACCATCGAAGGGTTCCACTCTTGGATGTGGCGAGGTCTCAGTTTCCTGTTACCGTTTCTATTTTTAGGTTACGTTTTCCAATTCTACAACGCGTATACGCTGTGGACGTTGAGCTACAATACGACTACCACTTGGCACGTAAGTATCGAATCGATTATCATGAGTTCTAAATCGTAAAAATGATATTTTTCAGAGTGTTACCAATCAGAAATTTTTTTTTTCTGATTTCTAAGTAGAAAATTTTTATTTTTGATTTTTCACTGAGTTCCAAGTTACAATTCAAAAAAAATTATTTTAAAAATCAATTTTTGTGACTTTTCTAGGTCGGAAAAATCTGTTTCTGATTGTTACTAGAAAAAACTATTTTTATGGTATTTCTATGAAGCAAAAATCAATTTTTTAGAGTTGGAAGTCAAAAAAATCAAATCGGTAAATTGGAACTCTAAATCGGAAAAATAAATCTATTTTCCTGTGTTATGAGTAGAAAAAATATATTTGTCTTAATTAAAAGTCGGTGCAAACGTTTTTTATGAATTCTAAACCATAAGAAAAATCTGTGTTTTAATTAGCAACAATTATTTATTTTTGAGTTGCTAGTAAGAAAAAATGATTTTACTAAATAATCTATTTTTTGGAGTTCACAATCGGAAAAACATTTTTTCTGAGTTATAATTTAGAAGAATTGTTTTTTTGATTTTGAAGTCAAAATATAAATTTCTTTTTCTAAATTGTAAGTAGGAAAAATGTAATTTTGTTAAATTCAAGTCTTGAAAAAACTATTTTTCTGAGTTCTAAATTGCCAAAACCAACTTTTTGAGTTGAGAATCAGAATATTTGATTTTATTAAGTTCTAAGTCCGGAAAATCTACCTTTTTGAGTTCTAAATCGGAAAAATATATTTTTCTGAGTGGCAATTCAGAAAATATATATATTTTTTTTAATTTTAGTTCAGAAAATATAATAAAAATCAATTATTTCAAGTTTCAATCAGTAAAAAATGTATTGATCCAAATATATTAAAAATATATTTTTTTGAGTTCTTGGTTGGAAAACGTTTATTTTTATTGACTATAAGTCAAGAAAATAGAATTTTCTATATTCTGTGCTACAGGAAAGCTATTTTTTCTGTATTTTAAGTAGTAAAAAACATTTTTTTATGAATTGCAAGACAAACAAATTCATTTTATCAGGTACTAAATCGGTAAATCTATTTTTTGGAGTACTAAATCGGAATAATACTTTTTTCTGAGTTAAAATTTAGAAAAATGGTTTTTTTGATTTTGAAGTCAAAATATATTATAAATTTCTTTTTCTGAGTTTTAAGTAGGAAAAATGTAATTTTGTTAATTTCAAGTCGAATTATAGTCTGTAAAAAAACTAATTTTCTGAGTTCTAAATTGCCAGAACCAACTTTTTGAGTTGAGAATCAGAATATTTGATTTTATTAAGTTCCAAATCAGGAAAATCTACTTTTTAGAGTTCTAAATCGGAAAAATATATCTTTCCGAGTTGAAATTCAGAAAACATATTTTTTTATATTTAGTTCAGAAAATATAATAAAAATCAATTGATTCAAGTTTCAATCAGTAAAAAATTTATTTTTTTGGCTGTTAAAATTCAAATATATTAAAAATATACTTTTCTGAGTTCTTGGGTGGAAAACCTTTTTTTTATTGACTATAAGTCAAGAAAATAGAATTTTCTATATTCTATGCTACAGGAAAGCTCTATTTTTTCTGTATTTTAAGTAGTAAAAAACTAGAATTGCAAGACAAACAAATTCATGTTATCAAGTTCTAAATCGGTAAATATCTTTTTTGGAGTACTAAATCGGAAAAATACTTTTTTCTGAGTTATAATTCAGAAAACTAATTTTTCTGGTTTTTAAGTCATAAAATAGTTATAAGTAGGAAAAATTAATTTTGCTTAATTGCAAGTCCAAAACATCATCAGTTATAAGCTGTAACTTATATGTATTTCTGAGTCCTAAATTGCAAAATTCAATTTTTTGAGTTGCGAATCAAAAACCCAATTTTGGTAAGTTATAAGTCGGTAATATTTGAAGTTTTAAATTGAATAAAAATATTCCTTTCTGAGTAACAATTTACGAAACTTATTTTTCTGAGTTTTGTGTCAATATTTTATTTTAAATAAGTTTTTATGAAAGAAAGAACTATTTTTCTGAGTTATAAGCCATAAAAAATCTATTTTTCTGATTCCAGGGTCGCAATAATAATTTTTTTGAATTTCGAAAAACTCGAAAAAATATTTCGTTTCGAGTAACAGTTTAAAAAACTTATTTTTTTGTCGATATTTATTTTAAATTAATTTTTCTGAATTATAAATATGTAGTAACATGCATTGTTCTTAATTACATGTTCTGAGTTATAAGCCATAAAAATATATTTTTCTGAGTTCAAATTCACTAAAAAAATATGTCGGTAAAATCCTATTTTTTGGAGTACTTAATCTGACAAATAATTCTGATTTTTAAGTCATAAAATATATTATAAATCTACTTTGCTGAGTTATAAGTTAGACAAATCCATTTTTCTGAGTTACAAGTAAAAAATTAATTGTTTTTTGTGGTAATAAAAGAAAATAATAATTTTGAGTTGTAAGTTAGAAAAATCGATTTAACCAAGTTTTAGGTCGATAAAAACTATTTTTCATAGTTCTAAATCTATGTCAGTGAAATCTATTTTTCTGAGAGTTGTATCCGAAAAATCTGTTACTTGACATAACTTTAAACACTTTTTGCTACATTGTAGTAAACAATACAGTGTAATTACTTTATGATGAATGTAGGTTTTATAACAGTTTTTTTCTTGTTTTTTCATGCAGGTACCTGTACTAAGCTTGATGTTCTTCACTTTGTTCGTCGGTAATACATTAACCACCATTTCGGTTATACCGTCGAAGTTTCAAGAAAAAGTCAAGTTGCAGTACAGAGTGATGAGCTCCAGACTGAGCGCCCAATTGTTGAATAGAGAGGTAAAGGTAAAACAAACAATAACATACAAATCATTTTTTTTTATTTAAATATAATAAATATCAACCAAGATCTATTAAAATCCTGGATATTTCCAGGATTAAACCGAATATGTGGAAGTTTCAATTCCAACTTTTACGAAAAACCTAACGTATATGCTCCTATGTCTAGTGGTTGGGACGTTGGTACGGTATGCCAAAGATTCTTCATTTGATTCCTACTGGTAGTGGTTTTTTTAAATTTGTTTTCACTTATTGGTAATCAGTAGACTGCGGAATATATGCATCAAAATATAACAAAATATGCGCATATATATGCATCGTTTTTACCAAAAATATACAGTTATTTTGTCCAATTATGCCTAAATATGCAAATGCATATTTGCTAAAAATACTTTAAAAAAAGTAGGGGGTGGGTAGCTCAGTGGTTAGTGCGTTGGCCTGTGGACTTAGGGGTCCCGGGTTCAAATTCCAGCCGGGACGCGATTTTTTAAATTAATTTATTTAAAAATTAATTCTGATGCCTAGCGAATATTTCCACTTGACCATTCACTGTTGGGTTCTAATTAACATTGCTGTTCCTAATTTGGTACGCTATCAAAGCCATTACACGAAAAAAAAAAAAACAAAAGAAAATATGTAATATAAAAATTTATTTAAAACAAACGAAACACAAAAACTAGTAGAAGTTAAGTATAGAATAGTATAAAAATATTAAATAGTAATATTATAATAGGAATTTATAATTAAATATTTTTCGAAATTTTCTATTAAAAATTTTTGTCGTCTGTCTGTAAAAATATGTTTTGATATAGAAAAGGTCCTTCCAACATCTACCGAAGTAATAGGACAATACCGTAATTTTGGAAGTAATGTACAGGGCCAACGTAAAACTTCTTTGGAAAATTTTCCCTCAAAAATGTTTTTCACTTCCCTTATTTCATTGAACCCTTCATTCTTTAATAAAGTTGTATTTAATTTTTTTCTAATCTTAAGGCCTATGTCACCAGGAACATTGTTACATTTATCGGAAACTGTTGCAATAAAATTTGTTGATTCGATTAAACTTAAATTTTTCTTTTCCAATGAAGTTATTACATCAGGTAAAAAACTAAAATTAACCTTTATAAACACAAGTTGCTTAGGCACAAGGGGATTTTTTAACAATTCTTTACTTTGCACTACACATTGTGAATTGTCTTCTATATCCAAAATTAAATCCTTAATTGCTTCAAAATTTTCTGCATAGAATATAGCTGCTTTAATCCATGTCCCCCATCGCGTAATTACGGGTTCCGGGGGCAAACACACCCCTACCATTCTCTCTTTATACAACTGCACTCTTAAAGGGGCTTTTAAAAATATTTTTTTCACATTCGAAATTAGCTTGTTAACCAAGGGATATTCTGTTCTCACAGTTTCTGCAACTAAGTTTATTCCATGCAGAAGACAAGTAACGTGGACCATATTTGGATAAAATATTTTTAAGTTTTGCCCTACTTTTATCATATATGGTGCTGCGTCAGACAAAAATACTAAGAACTGCTCTGAGGGAATTTGATTTGGTAAAAAAAATCCTGCTAGAGATTGTTGAATAAATCGGGTAACAGTTGTATTGTTAGTTTTTTCTAACTGTTTTGATGCAATTAAATATGATGTATCGGTTCATTTTCTTTTAAGGCTCCAATCATAAGATGTACCATATATCTTCCATAAGCATATGTGCTTTCATCAACAATGATGTAAAAATTGCTATCATCCAGTAAAACTTTAATTTCTTCTATTACATTTATATATATAGCACGTAAATTTTTTTTTCTGAGTGTAGATTCGTCAGGAATGGTTTGATTGCAATATTTTTGTAAAAATTCTCTTAGATGTAGGTTTTGTAACTTCTTTAATGGAATATTTGCCGCAACAAGAGCTTTGCACAAGTCCTGATTAAATACCTCCTTGTCACTTTTTGTTTTGTCGGCGTTTTGAAATGACCTCACAACGCATTGTTGAACCGGTTGTGATTTCATTTTTTGCAATTTGGCTTTATGCAATGATGTTTTCACGTGTTGAACCACTTTGAACTTTTTTTCGCAAACCACTATTTTGGCACAAGCTTTACAAAAAACTTTATATCCATTGATTTCCAACTCTAAAAAGTTAATAATCCACGAAGAAATTCTCGACATTTTAGGATACTTTTAAAACAACAAATTATTACAAGACTTTTCACTAGGCAAATAACGAGGATACTATCTCATTAAACTGAATGAAAAATATTCCGATGTTAGGGTAGATTGGTTACAAGAAATTACTGAGAATTTTATATAAACCGTTTTATTGCATTGTAGGTAATACTTTATCTGTGTAAATACCATCTATTAACAATTACCTTAATGGGCTTAATCTCTTAATAAGGTAAAAACCCAGTGCATGCCACCCTCCAAGAACTAATTAACAAGAATGTACAAGAAGTGACACTTAAAAACAAATACAAAAATTTAAAAGGTCTTTATTTCAAATATATCTGTATAATCTGTTAAAACAGTTTTTGATTTGCACAGTATAGTAATACATTTTTTTTTTTTTTTTCGAAAATATGCAATATTTTCTTAAATTTTCTGAACTTTGGTAAAATATGCAATATTTTCTGAATTTTGGAAAAATATGCAATATTTTCTGAACTTTAATAAAATATGCAAAAAATGCATATATATACATTTTGCATATATTCCGCTCTTTACTAATAAGTTTCAATATTCTCACTTTCCAATAATTCAGATATAAAATCCTCTGAATTATCTGACTCTTGGAATGATATATGTCCAGATTCACTGGAGGAGCTGGATGCTTTTCTTATCCTAGTTTTTGAATTCGCCGTATTGGTAACATCATCAACAACATCTTGCTTTGGCGCTGTTATAACCTCAGCCCCAACCGCTATTTTTTTTTTTTTTTTTTGAAATTTTATTGGAGCTTGATTTTGAGTCACGCATTTTAATAAAAGTGACTCAAATGAAGCTTTGCTAGTGATGGCTTTAGCTGTGCTATTGGTCGTCTCAGCTAGGCTAGTGTTCGCCTCATCTAAATTGGTGCTCGTTTCTGCTGTGGAGGTATTTACAGGACCAACTTTAGCTGTTTCCAAATTGATTAAAGTGTTTGAGATTTGAGCTTCCCATCTTTTCAAGGCCTCACTGTCAAATTTTTCTCTAGGGACTACTTCGTTGTTAAAAGTAACAATGCCGCCTTTTCTAAAACCATTTACAATGACGCTGGAATTAGCTTCTGACCAAGTCTCCGCAATAAACTTAGAAAACAAATTTTTTGGAAGGCGTCGTCCAATGTTATGTCACTGCCATTTTACCAGCTGCATATCCCAAGCATCTTTAATCGACTTAAAAACCGACAAGTCCAGTGGTTGGAGAAGGTGGGTTGTATTTGGCGGTAGCTTGATAATTGTTATATTTTCCTCGTTTGACAATATAAACTATAGATATATATATACATGAGTTTTATGGCCATCATATATAATAAGTTGAGGCCTCTCTGGGCCTAATGCAGGGATAACAATATTTTTGAAATAATTTAAAAAATGTCCGCATCCATCCAACGTTTTTGACTGGCAGCATACGACATACCGGGAAAAACACTATCCGGAGCCTGCCACTGATCCCATATATTGGGGCCTTTAAATATAATTAGTATGGCGGTGCCTTTTCCCCAACAGCACTTGCCAGAAAACATACTGTTGTGTTTTCGCGCCCGGGGGTGCTTGTTACTCTTGCACAGGGTTTTCCACGTTTACCAACCACTTTTGTCTTGCTAGGATCTATGGAAAAACTACTTTCATCAAGGTTCCAAATTTGGGCAGGTTTATCTTTTAGGTTCAATTCTTTCAACGTTTTTTTCCAAAAGATCGAAGTATTGATAAATAATAAATGGATCAGTGGCTTTTTTTCTAGCATACTCAACTGACTGGGGTACTTTAATGCTAAGATTATGCCTTTTTTTAAAACCTAGGAACCAATCATTTCCTGGCATTCCATTTTTATAAGGAGTTTCTAACTTATTTTCTTTAACGAAAAGAGAGACTTGTTCCAAAACTTCCTTTTTTGATAGTCCAAAACCCCACTTTTCCAAAGTGGCCAGTCCAGAGGCTAACTTCTGCTCTTGATTGCTCGTTAATGCTGTTTGTCGACGTTTAAAGTTTTTCTTCATTCCTCGAAGTTCTTTTACGCGACTATATGTGGTACTGTATGGTATGTTATATCTTGTAGACGCCTTAGACACTGTCAAATGTCCCGCTTGGCATTCTCGTACTGCTAGCTCCAACGTTTCTATTGGATACTTAGGGTCTTTGGTTCCTTTTTTCTTATAAACTCGAACCATTTTATCTGAAAAATAAAAGAGGTACATGTAATAGCCTGTGGGGTAAATGTAATATAGTATATAACACATTTACCCCGACCTCCTTTTTTCGGGGTAAATGTGTTATAAGCCTTCAGAAAAAAACTTCTAATTCAATTTTCCATAAAACCTCACAAAAATACAACTTATGAATCACTTAAAAAATTTTACTTTCAAACACTCGAAAACCATGGATCTGGCGGCTATTTCAAAAAACACGTGCTGAATTTGGTTACTGAGTGAAATAACAGCAGTCGACCATGTGGCGGCGTCTGAAACCGATCTGAAGCGGGTTTTGACGAGCTTGTTTAATTTAAGCGGCAACTAGGAAGTGGGGGCTTTCATTTAAGGAGGGAGCGGACGGTTTTCGGTTGATGAGGTAGGGGAGCTGTTGAGCCCCATTTTTACAATTACCCCAACTTACCCTTATAATAATTATATATCATTAATTGCCACTGGTAAAATCTAAAATTTAAAAAAGAGTATTATAATAATTAGACATTAATTTTATCTTAAATGGATCGCTTACTACAATGTTTTAGAAATTAATAAAATATAACTCTTAAATTAATAAACATATTGGCCAACGGCCTGGACACAGTTCATATTGTTGTATGTTGAAGAAACAAATAAAAAAGTTCTAAAATTAAATAATTAGAGACATTTAACTTTTAATTTGCGAATTAAAATGATAGAAGGCAAATATCAAAGACCTACACGTTAGGAATTCAGGATATTTACTGCTACTACAGACGTTGATTAAATAAAACAAGTAGAACTAGTATTGATCATTCAAAAATATATAAAACTAGTTTTGCTTATTTTGTAATGGTCAATACCCATAGAACAGTACAATTAGTTTTGGGCATTTTTTTCGGGCATTATACGAATTCGAGTATTATGCGTAACATATGTACCACTCTCGATCTACATTCATCCTTTAATCCCTGGTGCGTAAATATTTCATCGGTTTTTTTTTTTTGTTTTCGAAAATACGTCAGTTGACACATTTTTAATAACATATCAAACTTAATACATTTTTTTTTCAGACTGACGATACGGACAGTAATAAACAAGAATAATAAAAAAGTGAGGGTGCGTTAATTTTTTAGGTATCATTAAATGTGATTAGATAGAATCTATTTTATATATATTGTTTGTTTGTTAGTTGTTTTTAATTTAAATACCTTCTTTTCTCGAATGGTTGTCATAGATCTTTTTTTAATTTAATATTTAATTTAATTGTATTTAATATATTTGGTCAGTGGAACTGAAAAAAGCATGAAATAAAATGTCGAGAATATTTATTTCGAGTTTCATTTCAATCAATAATGTATTCCAAAATAATTTATAACTATGTATATATAATTCAATTTCTGAGTCGTGTAAACTCGTTTTCCAAGTCAGAAAAATCGAGTACTGTGTCGAAAAAAAATCTTTTTCTGAATTACAAGTCTGAAAATATCGATTTTTCTGAGTACCAAACTGTGAAAATATATTTTTTTATTGCCAAAAAGTTTGTAAAATATATTTTTCCACATTCTAAATCGAAAAACTCAATTTTTTTGAGTTCTATGTCGTAAAAATCTTTTTTTTAGTTACAGTTCAAAAACTATTTTTCTAACTTTTAAATAAGAAAATATATTAAAAATATATTTTTCTGAGTTCTGAGTTTTAAACTGTAAAAATCAATTTTTTAGAGTTTACAAAATAGATTTTACTGAATTTAAAAAACAGAAAATTCTTAAGCGAAAAAATCCACTTACCTCAATTACAAGTCAGAAAATTTTTCTGAGTTCTAAACTGTAAAAATATATTTTTTAGAGTTTAAAAAATAAACTTTACTGAATTCTAAGTCTCTAAAATGTATTTTTCAGAGTTCTAAATCGGAAAAATCTACTTACCTAAATTACAAGTCAGAAAATCGATTTTTCTGAGTTCTAAACTAAAAATCTATTTTGTAGAGTACAAAAATAGATTTTACTGAATTCTAAGTCTATAAAATGTATTTTTCAAAGTTCTAAATCGGAAAAATCTATTTTACTGAATTAGAAGTTAGGAAAATCACTTTTTCTGAAGTTCCCAACGTAAAAATCTACTTACTCAAAATAAATCAGCAAATTGATGTTTCTATTTTTCGGACTTTTAAATCAGAAAATATATTAAAAATTTCTTTCTGATTTCAACCCGTAAACTATTTTTCTGGATGTTGCCAGGTCAGAAAAATAAAATAAAATATTTTTTTTATAGCAAATAATCGATTTTACTGATTTCTAAATTTTTATATATTTGAATAATACATCGGAAAATTTATTTTTGTAAATTATGTCAGAAAAGTCGATTTTTCTGAGCTCTACTTCGTAAAAAATTCTTTTTCTATATTACCAATCAGAAAATCAGTTTTATGCAGTAAAAATCTTTTTCTGAATTGTAAATTAGAAAACTTAAAAGAAATATTAAACTGAGTTATGTTCTGAAAACTGTTTTTGAACGGATTGCAACTCAGAAAAATTGAATTTTCTAAGTTTGCAACAAATCAATTTTATTTAAGTCCGTATAAACCATTTTTTAGACTTCTAAATCAGGAAAATCTCTTTACTCGGATTACAAGTCAATAAAACCTATTTTTCTCAGTTCTAATTTATTATTATAAATTAAAACTCAGAAAAATAATTTGAGTTCTGGTTGTAAAAAAATTTTTTTTTTTGATTCGTACAAGACAGAAAACTCTTTTTCAGAGTAAAATACACTTTTTTTGAGTTTGAAGTCAGAAAAATCGATTTTACCGAGTTACATGTCAGTTAAATCTCATTTCGGAGCTGATCTTTTCACCTCTTGAGTAACGTTACGTGTATGTTTACTTGACAGATTATGGAACAATATCCCTATAGTTTAATCAGCAAGTAGTTACTTTCAACTCTACTGAGGTGAAAAGATTGGCCCTTAAACCGAAAAAATATACTTGCAAGTCAGAAAAACCTATTTTATTATTAAAAACCTATTTTTTATCCTAAAAATCTGTTTGAACCCTCTTCCGTATATTTTCTTTTTTCTGTTGGATATACTGCGAGTATTTTAATCAAATTTTCATACGTATCTGCTTCTTCTCCTTCAATTTAATGGTCTCATCCTATTCAGGTGTCTACTAACAATTTTAACTTTTTTATTTACTTTTAATTCATCTATCTAATTAAGAAAAATATTACATTGCATACACTGTCATGTCAATATGTAAAAATATTCCTATTGATTTGTTTCTTCTAAATGCGCAATGTTACAAATTGTTATGTAACTCTCTGCTTCTGCCTGAAGAGTCTCAAATAAAGCGAAATCGAGAAATTCGATCGCTAACACACATTATTACATTCCTTGTAACTGTACTATAGTCTATTTTTATGTATGAGAGAGTAATAAAACAGCATTTCTAATGCAAAACTTAGTACGGTCATTTTAACCCTTAACCACGGACATTTATTTTTATCACACAACTACGGACAAATTTAATTACATAGTATGTTTATACACTAAAGAATCGAAAAAGAGAATGCAAAAATATGAATGTAACACTAATACAAATTATAATAAGTAAAATGAAATTCTTAAGCAAAACTATAAAAAAACGTGCAAGTCAAATTTTTAACATAATTTTTTTTGCTTAGTCTCGTTCATTCACACAGTTTATGCAACATTTATTTTCCGCTTCTTATTACCACCATCACTTGCTCCAAATTCATCACTGTCACTCTCGTCATTGTCAGAAACTTCGATATTATAATTTTCATTATCAGGCAAATAGTCCTGCTCGTCGTCACTAGCTTCTTGTTCGCTCGCAGACTCATGATCACTTTCTAAATGCACATTTTCATCAGCTTCGATGTCACTATTATCACAGTCTGTTTCATCGAACCATATTATCGCTTGTTTTTCAAAATTATCATCTAAAATATTCACTTTCTTCGATGGACCAGGCGTAGGATTTGGCACAGCGTTAAATTTTTTATCACGTAACTACGGACGCGGAGTCTGAGAGACTCCCGGTATGCAAAATCAGAATAAAATAAAATTTCACGATACTGCTACTTTGAGACGTTCTAGAGCACTAAAAATGTGGAAGGTACACAAAGCAGCAGCAATAAATATCAGTTGTGGTGGGAGTAATGGGGTAAAATGCACGCCGCGGAGTCTGATAGACTCCCTGTCCGTGATTAAGGGTTAAATATTTTTACAGAATAATCTAAATATTTCCTAAAATTGTAATAAATGTACCTGAGCTATTACAAGTTTTGGGTCTTTTATTGGTCCTTTATAAATATAAGCTGTACAGAACAATAAAAAAAGGTTTGGACAGGCCAAAAGCCCTGTGTATTATAGATTACATAGCCGCATCTTAAGATTATTTTCAATAAGTACCTATTTGCCAATTTTGATTTATTTTAATTCCAAGAATTTCTTACAGTAATCGAATTATAAGTAGATAAATACCTTCCCAACAAATTTCACCGAAAATCGATTATAGGTTTTCCGTTTAGTAAGGAGGCCCAAGTTGTGTATTCTTGACAGTTTACTAAATGTCGTTTAGTTGCAAGGTGCAGTGCGAATTCTAGTGTGATCATGGAAAATTTGGAAGGGCCGCGTACACGACAAAAAATCGGTCCTTTAACAGTTAATGAAAAAACATTAATATTTAATCGTTTTAAATCATTTACAGACAAACATTTATGTAAAAGTGTTGATGACACAGTGGAATTAGTTAGTAGTACGCTTGGTGTTGGGAAATCTACGATTTACAGAGTTGTTAAAGAAAAGAAATGTGGCGAGTTTCAAACAGCACGTAAAACTCCAGGAAAACCAAAATTTCAATTAGAAAATCTTTTGAAAGAAAGGCTTCGAAGGAAAGTGCATGCGTTCTTCTTTAGAAAAGAATTTCCGACAGTAGACAAAGTTCTTGCCACGGTTCGAGATGATAAGGATTACCCTGAAATGAGTCGAAGCATACTATGGAAACTTTTAAAAGAAATAGGTTTTCTATGGAAAAAGCATTCCAGAAAGTCTATTTTAATAGAAAGAAGCGATATTGTAGTATGGAGAAGAAATTACCTAAGGACTATAAAAGAAATGAGAAACCAAAGAAGAAATATATTTTATTTAGATGGAACATGGATCAACGAGGGACATAAAGCAAATAAATTTTGGCAAGATGAAACTGTTACAAGTCGAAGACAGGCTTTTTTAAATAATTTATCTACTGGTTTAAATCCACCATCAGGAAAGGGGCGCAGACTAATAATAGTACACATCGGTAGTTCAAACGGTTTTGTTAAAGGTGGTTTATTGACTTTTGAATCTACTCGTACCGGTGACTACCATGAGGACATGAATGCTGATGTCTTTAAAGAGTGGTTCGAACAAATTATAGATCTTCCTCAGAACTGTATAATAGTAATGGATAATGTGGTCTATTCTGTAACAATTCCTTTATATTTAACGGCCTTTAAAAAAATTTTCTTCTTTACTTCTGTCATTATTTAAACGGATCTTTAATATACATTAGAGGACTATCTTAAAGAAATCTGTTTAAATAATGACAGAAGTAAATTAACGAATACAAACATATTTTTAAAGGTCGCCAATATTTTAAAGGCCGTTAAATATAACGGAATTGTTACAGAATAGACCCCAATGCAAGTTATCACTCGAGACTTATAGAAAAAATGCCCACAACCAAGTGGTTAAAAAAAGATTTACAGAATTGACTAAATTCAAAGAATATTAAGTTCCATCCTGGTTTGAGAAAAGAACTGTATCATTTGTGTTCCCTTCATAAAGAGAAATTAAAAAAATATGAAATTGTTGAAATTTTGAAAAAATCGTGGGATGACGGTGGTTAGATCACCACCATATCATTGCGAAGTAAACCCGATTGAACTGATATGGGCACAGATAAAGGGAGAAGTTTCAAGAAAAAATAATTCTTTTAAAATGAGTGATGTTAAACAGTTGTTTTTGGAGGCTGTAAATAATGTGAAGCCTGAAAACTGGGAAAAGGCAGTAAATCATACGATTAAAGAAGAAGAGAAAATGTGGAAGTTAGACAATATTACTGATGAAATGATCGAGCCACTCATTGTAAATATTGGTTGCGACAGTTCATCTTCTGATTTGGATTTGTAGGTAAGAAGTAGTTTTTATATTAAAATTATTATTTATGATCGTAACGTTGTTTAAAAGTCATAGTTTAAACCCTTATACCTACATAACCAGTTTGACACAATGTTCTTAACATACCTTGTGGAAAAATAAAAC